AAATTTTAAGTTACTTACACATATTTTACTTAACCGCTATACTAATTTAATGTATAGTATGAAACTCTTCGATCAACACTCATTTCTCAGCCAGAGACATTGCTTGGAACAAAGTTTCGAGATCAAAATGAATATATTAAAAATTCAGTTAATGGAAACGAATATTTTTTTGACCGTAATGGCAAAGCATTTAATTATATAATGGAATTTTATCGAACTGGAAAGCTTTTATGGCCCACTAAAACTAAAGAATCACAAATCACTTATCAACAGCTTAAAGAAGAACTTGATTATTTTCAAATTAATGGAGCGAAAACATTTTCTTCATTGGCATCAGAAACTGCTATAAATGCAATTTATCGGTTCATTTCAGCCCTTGAGCAATTAATCATTAGTCATTATGTAAACTTTGGCAATAAAATTTCTTTATTAGTTCATAGATGTAACTTATCAGCTGATAATAATTGCGATCAATTAAAAATTCTGAACCAAATTGAAGGAATTGCTTTTATTGTTCTATATAATATGGAAAAGCGGATTGAAAAGCATCTAGTTGAAACTTTTTCTGAATTAGAATTAAAATGGAAATGTCATTATAATAGTTTTGATGAATTCTTCAAGGTTGAGATTACTTTTTCCTCTCCGATTGAAAAGTTATTAAAATTTGAAAATGATCAAGCTCACATCACATTTACCAAAACTCCAATAAACACATCAAATGAAAAGATTATATTAAATGTTGGGGGTAAAAAGGTATACAAAATACTCTAATTTTTATTTGTAGTATTTATATATAACTTATTTTTATTATTATATAGTATGAAACCTTCCAATCAACTCTCGTAACACAACCAGAAACTTTACTTGGAACAATGTTTCAAGATCGAAATAAATGTATGAGACATCCAATTAATGGAAATGAATATTTTTTTGATCGTAATAGCGAGGCATTTTATTATATAATGGAATTCTATCGAACTGGAAAACTTACTTTGCCCAATGAATCTAATAAAGTTACTTGTAAACAACTCGAAGAAGAACTTGACTACTTTCAAATTCCTTTTAACAAATCGACATTACTTTGTTCATCGGCTTTAGAGACTGTTAGAAACAATGTTAAAAGAATCATTTTGGAATTTGAAGAATTGATCATTCGTTGTTGTGATTGTCTTAGAAATAATATTAAATTAGAAATTAGACGTGATAGTATTAGTATATATAATGACTATGGATATTATTTTCGTGATTTAGAAGATTTAAAAATTTTTAGCTCATATAATTTTAAAAGCTTTAATACTTATTCTACTTTAGATAAAATAGAAAAACAAATTGGTGGTCATTTGGTTAAAATATTTTCAGATTTAGGGCTAAAATGGGAATTCAGTCGTGATCTAAATTATAGCCATCTTAAAATCAATATTTCTTTTTCATTTGAAAATGTTTACAGAAATTTTTAAATAAAATATAAAAAGTTTGTATTTTGCTTTGCCATCATAATAGATAGATTAATTTACAAAAACTTATTTGAGACTAAATTAATATTTAATTATTTAGTGTTGGTTCAAATATTATTCAGTAAAATATATTGTTTAGTTTAGTTTGTCATATACTTTTTCATGATAATTTTACAAAGCTTTTTTCAAGAATTTGGTGATAAGGCTGTACAAAATTAACAATATCATTATAAGGAATTTGAAAATAAGGAATATGCGGCATCCATAATTTACGTTAAACCAGTATTTTTATAAAAATCTTAAAACACCAAGATTCTATTTCTATACAATACAGTACTGGTTTAATGTGATAAACAATTTTGTAGTTTTTAAAGCTAGAAATTCTCATGTGAACAATATTCAGGATCAGATGACAAGCCAAGATTTTTGCAATGCCCTATATTATTTTAGTTCTTAACTTGTAAATAATATCATATTTTATGATAAACAACAATTGATATTTGAAATTATATATAATTAATAATTAATTAATTAATTAATTAATTAATAATAATAAGTACTAGTTATCAGTCGGGTCGTTGACTTTCATCTACTAAAGACTCGACTGATATCTTTATTATCTGATATGTCTGACGTAAGCATTGAGTGATTTCAGTGCAACTTATTCAGTCATCTCCTAATACAAATATGCAATATTCCTCACCTCTTCAGAGGCGAGTAAATTTTGTATATTGTATTAGGGGGTGACCGAATTAGTTACACGGAAATCATTCAGTGATCACATAGGACGTGTCGGATAATAATAATAATAATAATAGTTATTATTATTATTATTATTATTATTATCGTGCAAACTTTTACGATCATAGATTTTTTTCTTCTTGCTATTTTTTGTTACGATATTACATAAGCACAACAATCTCGAATTTAAACTAAGCTAGCCAATAATGACTTGTAAAACATGATCATAATTGCACGATAACATTGTTATTGGATCATGCGATGATAAATATCATAAAATTTGTTCTGTCGGAACAAATTTCATTATATTAATTGGTGTATGACCAATATCTTATAATTATTATTATTATTATAATACTCACTTCCCTCTTCTACCTCATATAAAAGAGCCATTATATTTATATATCTAATATAAGATGCTAGTGCCCCCTCCTACTTCATGATATTACATAATAGTTTATTCTCCTTATATTTCTATTTAAATTTTATACACACACAAAAAAAAAAAAAAAGGGTGTGGTGACATAGCGAAGTGGACAAGTTTTCACACCCCAAGTAAGTTTAATTTAAAGGTATTGAGTTTGAATCCCATTGTAGATGCTTTGGACAAAATCTTTTGTATTATAGTAATGTATCTTCATTGATAGGTTTGGTTATATACCTGTAACTCTGGTCACACCAATATAGCATTGGAAGGTTTTAGTGCATTTGTGTTTTACAAAGAAATACAAACTGGTATTGGTGGTGCAAATCCATGATAAGTTCTCAGAATCATAGAAAACTAACAAAGAGAACCTGAAGAACTGAAACTGGCTTGGCAAAACTCAAGTTTGGAAGTAACTAGATCTTTGATGGTATCCTGAAATAGAATTGGATTGCCTCAAAAAATTGGTGAAAATGGTCAACAAAAAACCCTTATAGGTTTAGAGTTTACCCAACTTGGTTTCTGGAGTTGCACCAAAGAAAAATAATATGTGCTCTAGAAGCATATACCAAGAGAAGAGTGCTAAGGGGCATATAAAGCCTTGGTGAGATTAACCCTGCTGGGCTAACTGGATTGGAGACTGATAAAACAAAGAACATGGATGAAAACTATGTAGAGGTGGTACTGGTGTCTGGTGAGTCAAAAAGGGTGATTAGTAACAGTAGAGGTTATAAAAAATATGTGTATCCCAACCCAAAGTGTTGGGTAATACCATGTATAAGTTACTAATTAGACTAACCAGGTGCATATAGGTGGAACATATACTGAGTTTAGCTAGGATTACTTTTAGAAATAAAGTAGACCCAATCATTGTACAAGTCAAGTTTATTAGAAGTTCCTATTTACAGAAGTAGGGAGGTATGGTCAGAGGATTTAAATAGACAACCCCATAGTTTGGGCTGTAGGTATGGCAGCTAGAGTAGAACTCTAGGTTAGTAGAATAACTTAGTTGCAGGCTACTTAAATTAGGCACCAAAAGTACACATGTAGCTAGTTGTACTCTCATTGTAAATCCTGAAAATATAACTCTTAATAAATTGGCAATAAAGTTTAAAACCAAATAGAGGTTACTATTAAAAAAAATAAAAAATAAAATAAAAAATAAAAAAATAAAACAAAATTGAATCTTTTTATTTAAATAATATGAATAGACTACAAATTTTAAAGAAAAAACCTGATATTATAATATAGCCTTTTTCTAAGTGTGAAAGCTTTTATTAACTCTGTTTTATGAGGTTTGGGTCAAAATCCTGACAGGTCATAATCCTGACAAATCTCAACAATCAAAAAAATGGTTATTTGAGCAATTATACTATATAAACACCTAAACCTAATATTAACCTAAGTGCACACCCTAACTCTAATCTATGTACTCACCTAACCCTACTCTAATTTAAATGAACTTAATAATTTTTTATTGTTGGGATTTTTACTATCAGGACTTTTTTGTCAGAATTATGGCCTGTCGGGATTCTGTTTGTCAAGATTTTGACCAGCACCTATTTTATAAAAGTTCCATATATATTGTTTATTATTATTTAACGTGTTATTGGCCATTATTTTTCTCTGTTTAAGAATTTATTTTTTTAAATGTTTGATAATCCTTTTATCT